ATAAATATAATATACATCGTAATACCTTGAATATCCGCATCATAATGTGTTACTAACGTTCAATTCTTTTCTTTTTTTAAGAAAAATTATATGGACCCAGCGAGAATCAAACTCTCTACCTTTTGGTAATAACCATCCTTCAACCTAATCCTCTAATCACCCCATCCAACCCTCCCACCCCGGTTCTTTTCCTCTTCTTCTCTCCCTCTCTCTCTCTCTTTTTTTTTTAATTGAAAAGAAAAGTTTGATAGGAACTTGTTTCCCATTAATCTCGACGTTTCTTGTTATTGAGAAATTAAATCAAATACAGTAATTATGTTGGAAGGAAAGTATGTATATTGTCTTCATCAACCTCTATATATATATATAACAATCGAGTTTGGACAACTTTCGTAGCCATTTTTATGTATTAATTTTTAGCAGTTTTATTTTCAAGTAATTGATGAATATGAAAATATAATTGTATTTTATTAATAATCATAATTTAACTAATGCATAATTTAATTTGTGCTCATCCTGGAGGAGAAATTAAAATATTTTTACACATTAATTTTTTTTTATCTATTTTCTTTTTCAAGTAACTGATGAAACTGGGAAAACAAATGCCTTTATTATTAATTATAATTAATTAATGCATAATTTAATTAGTTCTTATCATGGAGGACAAGGTGAAATATTCTTTGATTAACACAATGCTCATCTCTCCTCTCTTGTCAACCTATATAAATAATCTATATAAGTTTCCCGCAATGAAGCCGTTGCTTTTTGAATGCCATTTTGTGTTAGTATTATTGTTTTGCACGAGTAAATTATCAATAGTCTCATATGTGGTTCAAGACATCAGGTAATAATTTTCATGTGTGGTTACATTATATGTGCAATTTCGTGATTGAGGTTTTATATTGCTTCAGTTTAACTCAATCCTAAATTTCCAATATTCATTTTCTCTAACTTTAATGGTTATTGATTATGATCATTCCATTTGTTCAAGAAGTATAAATGTATTGAAAATCTGAAATGGTTGATAAATTGGATAAATTAACAGTTGAGCTTGTGAAGTGGTGTGATAGTTCATGTCATGTGATTCTTGCCACGTTCTAAATAAGTTTTAAAATAATCCAAAACATCTGATTTATTTGCTTGTATCATGTGTTACATGATGGTGGCTTAATGTATTTGAAGAAAATACATAATTTAGCACAAAATCATTTTTTGTTATTTATGTGCATTTCCACCTATTGATTATTAGCTCATACTTTCTCAATTTACTTAGTGCACTTCAAGGATATTTGTTTCAAGCTGATATTTATCTATTTGTGACGTTCCAAAAATTGTTAATTAGTTTTCGTATAATATAATTATTATTTATTTTTTTATTAATAATTATCATATCAGTAATTATCAATGTAACATAAAGCACACGCTTCTAACCTGATTAGCAGACTTTAAAAAGTTTTTTGAAAAGGTAGAATTTAAAAAGTAGTGAATAGATGCAAAGAATGAGTAAGAAATGGCGTAAACACCATCAATGAGCGTTCCAATAATCCAATTTGTGCTCTGACACCCCCAAACTCCGGTACTTCAGTTAATAGCTTCTTTTTTTCCCTATGGAGTAAACGCATAAATTGAGTACTATGGTACGAGTGAAATTTTTTAGAAAGAGAATACGAGATGGATAGCAAAAGTCACATTCTTCATTCTTGGGCGGTTTTGCCCTCTATCCCTTTTAATCAGTTATTACGAATATTACTGATTGATTTATTATTGAACTTATTATATAAAATAGGATTCGCCAATAGTTTGTATAGTAAGCTAACTATTCAAACCTTGATGTTGTTTTCTACGAGTTGATATTGATCTGAAGAGTAAATTTGGTAAGAATTTTAAAAATAACACTATCTAATTACTATAAGAAGCATAACAAAAAATTTGCTTGCAGGTCAACCAGTGGTGCAACGTACGTCGCTTTTCCAAATACGGGTTTGCCCTTTAACATTTCTTACATCTTCAAGACCACGGACCCTCTAATATGTTCATCTGTTTCCAAAAATAAAAGAGAAAACCTCTAAAAACTTTCTTTCTTTCTTTTTTGGAAACTAATCTAAGAACTTGGAATATGAAAAGTGTACGGATTGAGGAAGATGTACTACACTACTCTCGTACACAACTTTGACTGTTTGACACATCTATTACGTACGAGGAAATGATGCATCTTCTCTCCTCTAGTTTAAAATATGTACATATTGTGTTTTATTATGGAAGTCTCACCTTACTTTGTGTGAGACAAGATATATATAATGTGGTGTTTAAAAAAAAAAAAAAACTTTGACACATCCATTACGTAGGAAATGAAACTGCGGAAATCATTGGGAATGTTAACCGGACAAAGATTATATGCATCGTACCTTGATTATCCGCATCTCAAGGGTTTTGCTCATTACAATGTGTTAGTAGAGCTCGATTATTTTCTTCTTCTTCTTTTTTTTTTTTTAAAAAGAAAAAGTTTGATAAAACTTGTTTCCCGTTAATTTCAACGTTTCTTGTTATTGTTAAATTACATATGTCGAATGAATCAAACACAATAATTATTTTAGAACGTAAGTATGTAAGATTTTTAATAAAATTTAAAAAGTGAATAGATGTAACGAATGAGTCAGAAATAGCGTAAACACCATCAATGTCGTTCTAAGTTGCGCTCCTAACAATAACACCCAACTCCGGTATTCAGTTAATAGTTACGATGCCACATTTTTTTTTTTTTATGGACTATGGACTATGGAGTAGACTCATAAACTAAAAGTAACAAGGTAAGAATGTGATTTTATTTTATTTCTTTTTTTAAAGAAAAAAGAGAATAAGACATGAATTGTAAAAGTGACATTAATTCCTGGGCTGCCCTCTAACCCTTTTAATCAATTATTACGAATGTTACTGATTGATTATTATTGAACTTTTTTAGAAATAGAGGATCCGTCAATAATTTATCTAGTAAGCTAACCAATCAAACCTAACACTCTGATGTTGTTTTCTACGAGTTGATATTGATGTGAAGAATAAATTTTATAAGAGTTTTAAAATTAATACAATTTAATTATTACAATAAGAAGTATAAAAATTGCTTTGCCAAGTAATTTGCTTGTAGGTCAATAGTTGTGCAACATAAGGTTTCTTGTAGCTTACAAAGTTTAAGATCCAAAATTCCTTATAAGTATATTCCCTCTTTTGATTCTCCAGCTTACGTGACGTTTCGTGTGCCTTGTAACAATTTTGCTTTCATTTGTGTTGCTCAAGTCCTCTTTCGATCGGGACTGCCAGAACATTGGAGAAGGAATTAGTTCATTTTGGTTTCAATTATTCTCCCACATTCATCATGTCACCGAAGAAAATGATTATACACAATTATTTTGGGACGAACCACACAATATTTCATTTATTAGTAAATATTAAATACTCCCTCCCGTCCTTAATATAAGGTATTTTGATTTGTTCTAAATTTCACTTAATACACATTTTTAATAAATAAAAAATTTTAAAAATATATTTTCACATCCATCGTGTTTTTTTGATTGTTATGAAATATTTTTAAGGGTTTTTTGTCAATAAAAAATATATACTTGATGAAACATATGACAAATCAAAATGTCTTATATTAACGACTGGAAAGAGTGCTTTACATGAATTTACGCTCACCCTCACACTTGAGAATTGAGAACTAATATACAGAATTTAAATGAGTCACGCATATGTCGTCTTCCTTGTGGTAGCTTCATGAAAAAGTAATTAAACGTTCGTCCATGTGTAATTTCAAAAAAAAAAAAATTGTAGAAAAAATGGTTAAAAGAAAAAGAAGTAGACGAAACAAAATAAGGTTATCAGCGTTGTAGATAAGTAGCTACTGCTAGTAGAAAGATAAAGTGGGGACAAAGAGTCTAATTATACACTTCGATGATTATGATTCAATGTTTTCAAAATCGGGATTTCATACATAATCGTTTTGGCGTCTTAGGATCGGATCGGATTCTGGATCGGTGGGATCGTAACTATTTAAAATATTATAATAATTCTAAAATTGCAAGTTTCAATTTGTTAGTTCAATTCTTGTTTGATTTTATAGAGGAGAAGTAGACTAGTGCTCACATCCGTATAATTAACTCAAAATTTCAACTTTGATATCTTTTCTATTCATTTTCCTCTCTTTTTATACAAAATTAACAACATGTACAAGTATCGACAAAATCAATGGGATCGTTGGATCGTAGGATCCTACGATCCGGATTGGGATTTTGAAGGATTCCATTAGATCCCACTACAAAGAAGGATTTTATAAGATATAAGATCGATTTTCTAATTCCGGATCGTAGGATCGTAAGATTCTAAGATCCGGATCGGAATTTTGAAAACTATGTTACGATTACTTCTTGTTTGGCAAAGACCACGTTAACGTTCTAGATTATGCAAAGAAACCCATAATTGTTACCCCATTGAATTACGACGGACCCAAAAGAAAAAAAAAAGTCAATTACCTCATTTCAAAATAGAAATTTCGCGATCATCAATTATTTTAGAACTGATAAAATATAAAATAAATAAAATGTTTTTTTTTTGTTTGGAAATGAGAAAACACAATCTATTTAATTTCGAAGCTCCAAAATATAAATACGAACCTTTCTTCATTTTAACTTTATTAGTTAGATCCAAATAATTTTTTTATTATTAAAAGATGCCAAAATAGTGCAAAATCTCATATTTTGATTTTATATACGCAGAAGCCAATTGCAATAGGTAAGTTACATTTTTCAAAGATTCATCCAGAAAAGAAGAAACTGTACAAAATGCCATAAATATATCACATCTAATAAATTTCATAAATTCTCTCCAAAACTTCATTATTTTCATCACACTCAAAAACTGCCCAACTACCATTCCCACCATTTCTACAACTGCTTTTCGGCCCGAGCCAGGGCAATCTGACCCGACCCACGAGCCGACAGCCTTAGAACATGCTAAAAGACTACTGCTGCTGCTTCTTTGAAGCCCAGAGCTCCGACGGCGACGGCGATGTCGCCGACCGGGACCCGGTTCTTCTAGTGTCAGGGATGGGCGGCACAATTCTCAACTCAAAAAATAAGAGTTTCGGGTTTGAGACCCGGGTTTGGGTGAGAATACTATTGGCTGATTTGGAGTTTAGGAAGAAGCTTTGGTCCCTCTATAATCCAGAAACTGGTAATGGTTGTTTTTCCATTACTGGAAGAGTGAGTGAACATTGTTAAATTGTCTTTCTTTTGTCTGATGGTAAAGTTTTGATTTTTTTTTTCCCTTTGTTTTTTCTTCTTGGCCTTATTTTTTTTTAGGCTATACAGAATCATTGGATACTAGTTCCGACATAGTGGTGCCAGAAGATGATTATGGGCTATATGCAATTGATATTTTGGACCCTTCACTGGTAAGTTTTGTAGTTTTCATGAATCATGATCCCAGGTGTTATTTCGTCACCTTTGCTAGTATTTCAGTCCTGTTGCTCTGTGATTTTGCAGAATGTTCACAGAATGTTAATTGTAGTGTTTCGGGATTTCACAGTTGAATGCTAATTTGCATGAATATTTCACGGTAGCTCTTACTAGAAGTGCATCCCGTTTATAAGGTTCATGTTTGTGAAAGGCAATTAGTTCCTTGTGTAATTTGGTTTTCCTAATGTTTCAATGCCTTTAATAATTACCATTCAACTTATTTCACCAATTACACTTTGAGGATCCTTTAGTATGAGTCAGAAATTTTAACTGCCAGAATTCTGAAGTTGAGGCAACATCTTTTGTCCATCTTTTTTCTTAGAGTTAATTTGTTTGTCATTTGATGATATATTCTTCCACATGTACACGTATACAATTTTAGGCTTAAGAATTTATGTGCAGTTTGTTTCAACTGTTTGCAGTGGGTAAAAATTCTACATGTTACTGAAGTTTACCATTTTCATGATATGATCGACATGCTTGTTGGATGTGGGTATAAGAAAGGATCAACATTGTTTGGATACGGCTATGACTTCCGACAAAGCAATAGGTATCTCCTGTGGATTTAATATTGCAGTTTACATAGGAAAAGCTCGTAAATTTCTTTGTATCTTTCGGTATAATTCAGAAATGTGAGCACCCTAATTTTGATCCTGTATGCTGAGTTGTAACCTTGTTGTTCTAGCATCTGACTTATGGTAGACATGTTATAATAAGTTTGTTTTATACCCTTGCAGAATCGATAAAACAATGGATGGTCTCAAATCTAAGCTAGAAGAAGCATATAAAGCTTCCGGAGGGAGAAAAGTCAATATTATTTCACACTCGATGGGTGGATTGTTGTTGACATGTTTCATGTGTCTTCACAATGATGTAAGTGGAGAGTATAAAGGTGCTGAATCTAATTCTACATGTAAAACTTTGTTGAGTTGGCACCACTTGTTTCTGAACTGAGACACCAAGAAAAGATGTTTAATTTCCATGTCAGTATTCTGAGTATACGCCAAAAAAATATAGCAAGAGATTATTTTTCTCTCATGATTCTGGTTTAATTTTCTTGATTTCCTCTATTTTTACATAAAATGAGACATAGTTTTCTTTCTTTATCTGTGAGACTTTTTTCCTGTCAGGTGCATATATATAATTTGGTAAATAAAGTTCATTCTCTCTTGTTACATCATTTCCTTTGAGCAAATCTTTGAACTTTATAGAAGCCTTGTTGTCTGCATGATTAATGAACAATGGCTTCAAAAATTCATCTGTAGGTTTTCACCAAGTATGTCAACAAATGGATTGCCATTGCTGCTCCTTTTCAAGGTAGCTTTTCCTGTTCCAGGGTTTAAAAACTCTTTGGAAATGCAACAGAAAAAATTGTATTCTCTTTCTTGACTTCCCTACAAGATTGGTTTTGTTTGGAAAAGGTTATATCTTTTGGTTCTTATGTATTTGTTTGATGGATACAACATGGGCACCTTATGAAATTTTCCTCTTTTCTTTTCGTATTTTATTCTTATATAATCTGTTATATGCTTCTTCAAGTGTTTTGTTCTGCAAATCTTGAGCCGATACCACTGGGAGTAGCTTTGAGGGTAAATTAATTAAATCTGAATTGACTATTTGAATTTGAAGTTCATAAACATGGTGCAATCAGTTTACTTTTTTGTTTCCTTGGTGCATCCAGTATTATTGCTTCTCTAAGATGCCTGGTGTATTTGCACTCATAAAGTTATTATTTCCACAGAAATGATTTTGTACAGACTTATTTGATAAATTGATCTGGCCGCTTCATTTCTTACTGATTTTTTTGGTAGAATATTCAATGTTACAGTTTGAACCATGTATTTTTTTTCCTTATTTCTCAAGCATTATTTCATACTGACATCACACTAAATGATAAATAGGTGCACCTGGATGCATCAATGATTCGCTATTAACCGGATTGCAGTTTGTTGATGGATTTGAAAGCTACTTTTTTGTGTCAAGATGGACAATGCATCAATTGGTAAATTGCTTCCTTCTTGTAAGATGTTTTTTTCGTACACTGCAGAACATATGAAACAGCCTTTGGTCTGTGGTAGCCATAGTTGGTAACTTGCAGGCTGCAGCTCAAACCTTGGTATCCTGAATTTTGCTTGGTTCTCTGAATTAGATTTTCTTATCATCATTCTTGTGACTTCCTTGCATTCCTTGATTTAGTCCAACTATCTTGGAAGAATGCAGTAACCTTTCCTTCCAAAAGGCTCCATATTCTACTTTGCGTTGGCTTTTTGAGCTAGAAAAATTTACAGCATGGCTAATGCTTTGTTGGTGCTCGTATTAAGTTAGGACTTTTATATATTTTTTAGATGACCTATTCATTTCATTGAAAGTAATGAGCCTGAGGCATTTGATGCCTTCAGGTTGGTTTAATTACTCATATGGAAAAACATTCTTCAACAGCAAAGACAAGCTAGGGCATAAAATTTTTTCGAAGTTTCATTGTTAATTGTGAGTTACTCTGTGTGTGTGCGCGCGCGCGCGCGTGCACATATGGGGGTGGGGTGGAGGGGTGCTGGGTTTAGAAGTTTCTGTTTGGAAAGGATCTTCTGTTTCCTCATATATTATTACTGTTTTGCTCCTGCTCTCCATCATCCATATTTGGGTTGTATACTGTTGTACTCATGTTTTTCTCTCCTTTCTCTCTTTGGGTAAGACTGGTGGCTTGATATTTATCAATACAGGTAGTGGAGTGCCCTTCTGTATATGAGATGTTGCCAAATCCAGGATTTAAGTGGAAAAAGGAACCTGAAATTCATGTATGGCGAGCAATGACCGATGATGAGGAAACTTCAGCTGTAATGGAATCCTATGGTCCAAATGACAGTGTGAATCTTTTCAGCAAAGCTTTGCAGAATAACGAGGTAGTCTTGTTTTACTCTGTTTAGCTACCTAAATTATGGTATGAAAAGAAAATACAAAATCTTCAGCTTCTTTGATCATTATTTTTTAATTTCTCGCGGCTTCCTTATTTTGCTCATGGTATTGGAGAATGTTTTACGTCCGAAAGCAGCTGTATGACATAAAATTGTGCTTTTAAGCTGGATTTTGTTTGGTGAGAAGATATTTAATGCTGACAAAAGCAAGGAAATTTGAGCCACAATTTTGACTGAAACTTCAATAACCTTTGAGTGTTCTGTTCTGAGAAGCATCATTCTAGGCCAGAAGTGTGTTTCATTTGGTCATCATTGCCTCCCCGCCACAGCTGCATCGCATAATACGTTATGTTCATCAGTCTTAACATACTTTGCTATCACATTGCAGCTAAATTTTGGAGGGAAAAAAATAGCATTGCCATTTAACTTTTCCATCCTTAATTGGGCCCGTGGTACTCGCCAACTTCTCAATGGTGCTCAACTACCCAAAAGTGTCTCTTTCTATAGTATCTATGGGACATCATATGACACGCCTTTCGATGTATGGTAAGCAACTCAGAATCTCTGGGGGTGCAGTAACACTTCTAGGTTTTTTAAACATGGATTAAGACATTTTTTGTGCTAGTATTTACCATAAAGCTAAAGAGAAAACCAAACAATTTAAATATCGAATTCAACTCACTTGTTTGTATACCTTCTCTTGCAGCTATGGTACAGAAGCTTCTCCAATCAGTAACATCTCTGATATATGCCACACGATAGTAAGTTCTACTACAGTCTGACCTGATGTGTCCATCAATCGGACAGTTCAAGGTTTTATATTATTTCTGCATCAATATCCAAATTTATATCATTATTATTCTGGGATTGAGACCTAAACCAAAACATTCATAAGGAAAAGAGAAGTTGGTAATGTGGTAAATGGTAATCTTTCTTTTCTTGGTTTGTGCTTTCGGCTGATAACAAATGGTGGATTTTTTCTCTCCTCTTGTATGTTTTACTGCTACGTGAGCGGAAATTTTGTGAAAAAATGCCGTAGAATATCCAATAACCAATATTTTTTGGTGACTTTTTCTTGTTTATTATTTTGATTACAAATAATGTTTTTCTTTCAGCCTGAATACTCTTATGTGGATGGGGATGGAACTGTACCTGCAGAATCAGCAAAGGTACTGTTTTTAGCTTTTCGGTTGCTATTATGTGATGCAGATTAATTCAAGTCCACTATATGTGTTGGTCATCTTGCGGCTGGAAAATTCTCAACCTTCATAACCGAAATATCCAATGTACATCCGCAGGCAGACAATTTTGATGCGGTGGAAAGAGTAGGAGTCGCAGCTAGTCACAGAGCACTATTACGAGACAAGAAAGTATTTGAGCTTATCCAGAAATGGCTGGGAGTGGAACCACAGGTGAAGAAGAAGCTACATTCGAAAACCTCTAAAGTCATGGACGATAACCCCCATGAATGCAAGAGGAAAGATATGCACGTCCTTCAATGACTAATGATAGTCCAGTATATTGTACATAGTGTTTCCCTACTTAATCTTCTGAGGGTTCATGTACTGTGTACATATGCTGAATTGAAAGGCCTAATGCAGGTTACGAGTAGTAAACGCTGGTACCATTTCTCGTGTGCATTTCCGGCGTGTGCAGCTTGTGATCCCTAAAATGCATATCATATAGTTATAACTTAAAAGCAAATAAGATTTAAGTTGAACTAAGAGAGATAGCATCAGTATATCAAGTTATTTATTTTTCTTCCAGGTTAAATGGTACTCACTCCATAGGCCTAAATTTTCATTCTTAATACTCTCTCTGCCCCTCTATTTTAAAATTTTTGTCCAGTTTGGATTTTTGTTTTTAGTTCAAATTGCTGAAAATACAAATTGGATAATAATATTTAGAACTGTACAATTTTTTTTTTGGAAAAATGATCATCCCTATTAACTAATGAATAACAAATTTAACAAAGTGAATGAAGCAGTATTTCTATTTCTTTCGGAAGGTGTACTTCCTGTCAAAATAGATGAGAACTAGTTTTTTAGGCCCGCTACGTGGTCCTATTAATTACAAAATTTGAGTAGAGCCTCAAGAAAAATTTACAAGAGAGAACTTTGTCAAGAAGTGATGTAATTGAATCGTAACAAGAGTACTGATTCATTCCCTATTAAAATTTTCTGAAAATTTTTTCTACATAAATCGTTATACTTATTACAAATATATTAGAAAAATGGGATTTAAAGTGATAAGTATGACTCTTTCAATATGAAATATAACGTAACCCTATTTCAAATTCATTTATGACTGGTTTGAATCAACCATGGAGTTTAATTACAAATATAAATATATTGCTTAAGTAAATTGGGATATGACTGTTTTTCGAAAAAAAGAAGTTTGGGAATCATTTTTTTAAGCTTGTATTTATAATATAAATTTAAAACTGTAAATAGTTACAACTACTAAAAATAGATTAATTTTTTATGCGAGAGAGTAAAAATTATGAAATGAAAGTGTTTTCATATTTGTACAAAATAATAAAATGTTAATTAGTTCAACATTTTTCCCGTTAAAGTATAATTTTCACGAAGAAGACATCTCAATGAGCATAATTCTACTCCCTCCGGTCTTTATTATAAGAGATTTTGACTTGTCTTAAATTTCACCCTAATATGAATTCCCAATTGAGAAAAAAAAACTCAAAAATATTTCATAATAATTAGGAGAACATAATGAATGTGAAAATATATTTTTAAAATTTTTTTATTTCAATCTGAAAAACATATTAGGTGAACTTTAGGACAAATCAGAATACCTTATAATAAGGATCGGAGGGAATAAAAAATATTTACATGCCGAGAGCAGTTTTTTTTTTTTGAATTAAATTATAGATATAAATACTATAAATAGTCTGTAAAAAGCCAATGATTGCTATAATTGAGTAAATTTAATAAAGAGTTGGACTTTAATACATGCAAATGAAATGGTTGTTAGGTCATTACATCAACCATCCATATTATTTAACAAAAAAACAAACACAAGGTGGCAGTCAAATTTAAAACTCAAAGAGAGATTTCTGGATCATGAATTGGAATGTAACTTTTAAAAGTTCGGCCATAAAGAATTAAAATGGAGTGATTGGTGTGTTTTGTGAAAGAGGTTGATAGAATTGATGCAACCACGACTACAAACCAAAGTTTAGAAAAACGGATTCTCACTCTATATATAGTAAGTAATGGATACAAATGCCATAAATAGTTTGTAAAAAGCCAATGATTGCCATAATTGAATAAATTTAATAAAGAGTTGGACTTTAATACATACAAATGACATGGTTTACGTCTCATACATCAACCATCCATATTATTTTTTTAAAAAAAAACACAAGGTGGCAGTCAAATGTAAAACTCAAATAGAGATTTTTATATTTCTTTTATAAAAACTGTAAGCTGGCATATATTAATAAAAAACAGTTAAGTACAAAGCACCTACCAAAATTGCCCTATTTACAATTTATTTACAAATTGATCACTCAAGTTTACAACAAGCCGGATATAAATCTTCTCTCCTTGGCCACCAACTTCCTGTTCTTGCGACTCTGAATCCTTGTTTTGACTGGCTGCTGAATTTCCTTGAAGATCAAGTCTGCATTCTTTTTCTGATTTTTGAATATTCTACTACTCCTTTGCTCCCAAATCTCATAAATACAAGTAACCAAAGTTGCATACAGAATTTTTTTTTGAGCCTTGTTCCTTTCCAAATGTACAGAATCTCTCTTTGCCATCTTCTCATTTCCGCTAGTGATCTAACTCCTAGCCACTGTTTGATTCTTCTCAGTAATTCACTTGAAAAAGAACAATGAAAAACAGATTCGCAATGGTTTCTAACTGACCTGTACACAAGTAGCATTCAGCATCTGGAATTGGGATATTGTACTGTGCCAGTCTATCCATGGTTCAGATTTTACCTTTCCATACAAGCCAAGCAATAAATGCATTCTTTGGAACATTTAACCTGGACCTGATTACAGTTGCAGCATGCATGATACTTCCTTCTCCTTGTAACCACTTGTATCCTGAGCTTACTGTATAATCACCCCGTCTGTTTGCTTTCCATATACCATTATCAAATCCTCCTTTAATTTATCTCGCATTTTCAAAATCTGTTTCCAAGACCAGCTACTATCAGGCTTAAACTGGATCTCCCATATACTTTTCTTTTTTTAAATAGACTTCATGAACCCACTTTAGCCATAAACTATCTTTGTTACTAGCTATCCACCACACCTGTTTAAGGATGGTTGTTGTATTCCACAACTTAGCATCATGAACACTTAGTCCACCCATGAACACTTAGTCCACCCTCAAATTTACTTCGACAAACTGTCTCAACCTACTAGAGTATAATATCTCCATGATTTCCTTACTCCATAAGAATTCTCTACATTTACGAGTAACAGCTTCTGAAATACTGTGAGGGAGAATAAAGGCAAAGGACCAATACACATTTATATTCATAAGAACATAATTTACCAATTAAAGCCTCCCGACGTAGGAAAGATGCCAAATAATCCAACATTTCAATCTTTTAACAACCTTATCTACTACTACCTGGCATTCCATTTGGTTCCATTTTCTCAGAGAGAGTGATACGCCTAAATATTTCATTGGAAATGCCTCCTCCTTAAATCCAGTTAGGTCACATAATCTTTGTTTTATCTCATCATCTACTCCCCCATATATATTTCTAACTTTACAGTATTAGTTTTCAGACCTGACACCAGAGAGAATTCAGGTGCGTGCTTTCTGGGTCATGAATTGAAAATGTAACTTCTAAAAGTTGGGCCATAAAGAATTAAAATGGTGTGAATGGTGTCTTTCGTGAAAGAGGTTGATAGAATTGATGCAACGATGACTACGTACCAAAATTTACTATAGACTAGATGGATCGAACGCGATTCGCGCGTGCTGCAATATGAAAGAACATATGAGTATAATAATATATATTAACTCTAAACATGTAATTATGACATGCTTAAATTTGAAGAGAGAAACAACAAAAGAATACTCCATTATCTTATTTTCATAATCCATTTTGTTACAATAATATAGATGATCAAAATGGAACTATATATAATTTTTCTCACATAAAGTTAATTTGACATTTACAACAATAAATTCAATAACCTGAATATGTGAAAGAGAGTCATGGTTTCAAAATGTTTGGTGAAAAAATAAATAAAAAACTTTGCTTACGAATTGTAAAGTATTAACCGCATTAAATTTTACCTGAAATCAAGAAGACGCCTATGATTCAAGAACAATTTAAATTCTTTTATTACAACCTTCATTCACTGCTTTTGGATTTTGTAACTTAACTTTATGTTATCTGAATAGCCAAACATCAGCATCCCTACTTCTATTTGAATTCAACTTGAACTTTCAATCAAATTGTTAAAACATATTTAAAGAACTTGCAAAAGAAGAGAAAAAAGAAAGAAAATCAGGATAAGAGATAAAGGGAGAAGAGAGAAAACCAACATAAAAGATGAATTAGAATTGTGGTGCTTAAGTAGTTTTAATAAAAACTATTGTATTGAATGCTAAAAGTAAATAAAAGGACACATGAACAAGTTGTTACAAGAGATAAGGGGAGATGAAAAGTATAACATTATTAAATAATAAAAGAGAAATATATATGAAATTTAATACCGATAGTAAAGAACAGAAGATGAAGGGAGATAAAACGTATAACATACATAGTAAATAATAAAAGATAAAAAGAGATGAAAATTTTAATAATTGTAATTAAAGATCACAATAAATTTTGAAAAATAATAGGAAAGAAAATATGAAAAAGAAAACGAAAAGGTATAACTTTTTTAGTTTAAGAAGGCAAAAAAAAAAACTAATCTAAAGCAAAACATAAAAATGCATATGAGAATCATGTGAGAGGACTACAAAAAACAATCTCACATTCCCCAATTATAATATATGTGGAAAAACGGATTCCCACTTAATATATAATAATGGATATAATGCTATAAATAGTTTCTAATAAAGCCAATGATTACCATAATTGAGTAAATTTAGTAAAGAGTTGGACTTTAACACATACAAATGACATGATTATCGTGTCATTCATCAACCATCCATGTTATTTAAAAAGAAAAAAAAAAAAAAAACACAAGGTGACAGTCAAATGTAAAACTCAAAGAGAGATCTATGGGTCATGAATTGGAAATGTAACTTTTAAAAGTTGGACAGTAAGGAATTAAAATAGAGTGAATGTTGTGTTTTATGAAAGAGGTTTACAGAATTGATGTAACGACGATTACGAAACAAAGTTATTATAGAAAAAAGATTCCCACTTTATATGGACGTACTTGCTTCCAAAATGTTAGAGGCTAGGCCCATCATCAATCGGGTCCAACCGGTAGATAGCGTTAGACTTGGGCTGCAAAACTTGGTGAACGACAGGCTTTGCGAAAATCATTTTGTCC